CCACGTTTTCATTCATTCATCAATTTTTTTAAATTGAAGTTTGCCATCCTTGTTGTGTCGCTGACGTTCCTGCAATGAAGCGACTAAACTTAAAATAATTAAACGTCCGGAAGTCCGATATTTTTCCATATTTCTCTTCGAAATCAAAAAATGTTGATACGGTAATGTTCTACCTTCATTAACAATCCTCAAGCGCTTTCAGGCAGCCTAAAATTTCGAACTTGATGTTTTTCGCTAACCCTGTATACAGAGTATGAAGCCATCCAAGCGCTTGACACATAAAAACTTTTCAATGACACGGCTGGATACGGTCCTCAAATAACTCCATATTTCTCTTTGAAATATACCAGTTTTTCGTTGAAAAATATTCTACCTTCATTTACAATCCTCAAGCGCTTCTAGAAAGTGAAAAAATGCCAGCGTTATCCCTTTCGCTGACCTTGTACACAGAGTACGAAGAGATCCAAGCGTGACACTTAGAAAATTTTCAGCGGACACTTCGAATAACTAAGCGTCCGGCAGTCTGATATTTTTCCATATTTCTCTTTGAAATATAACAATTTCTATTGGAAATATTTTATCTTCATTTAGAATCCTTAAGAGCTTCTAGAAAGTGAAAAAAATTGAACGTTGTCCTTTTCGCCGACTCTGTCACAGAGTAAATACTTTTTTTAAGTGTCACGCTTGGATCTCTTCGTACTCTTTGAACGGTTCACCAACGGTTCAGATCCAGGCGTGACACTTAAAAAAAGGTTTCTTCGGATTCTTCCGGACAAAATTCAAAATACTGTAAGGAAACTGTTAAATGACGAACGTATTTGCCGTGAAACAGTTGACTATATGTCCAGGATGGCTCTTGAGAAGGACGATTTTAGAAGGTTATCAGTGATCTGGGAATTTCGTGTTACAGGAAATTGGGTCGCGGCGCGCGTGGCATCAAGGAAATGGCCTTTTACAGTCAAGACAATATTTACCGTTCCAAGGAGTTGTCCAAATGTCGTAAAGCCTCCCTTAAAGTCGTAAAGTTGATTTATTACTTTATAGCCGTAGGCAAGGCGTGAAATTGCGCCTAATACAGGTGCCAATGCGACTAAATTTTTCACTTTGGCGACCAAATCATCAAAAGTAGTCGCCAAATTGGCGACTAGAATGTTTCATTATTACCTTACTTAGAGATATAGTGAATTAGAAGGATTTGCAAAGATAAATCCGCGGCAAACTTCCTCGTTAAGTTTGTTTCCAAAACGCAGCACATGCATCTCGATCGATAACTAGACACCATCTTGGATTTAGGTGAGCTTGAACGTTGCATATTATCCATCCTAGTGTCCTCTTTGAAACACGTTAAAGATCTTTTCCCAAACTCAATTTCTAGAACGATGGCAGCGTAAAAAAAGGTTTTGTTTTTCTTTGAAAATGGCGACCAACTTTTTTTGAATTGGCTACCACTTTGAAGAATTTAGGAGCTAAGTGGCTTTTATAATCAGAAAAAAAAAATCAATTTCACGCCCTGCATAAACCGCATCGATTTGGAGAATCAAAGCTAAAGCTAATTTCCTTTTTTTTTAGGTCGTAAATCTCCATCATCATAAAAAAAAAAAAAAAAAAAAAAAAAAAAAAAAAAAAAAAAAAAAAAAAAAAAGAAAGACAAACAAAGGAAAAAAGAAAAGAAAACAAGAAAACATTTAACAACTCGTTCTGAAATTCAGCACGGACTTGTCGGACAAGTTCATTTTGCCGCCTAATGTAAGATAGAATGTTTTTTTAAAAATTTTTTTTCCTCACAATTTCATACCTTTCAGTATATATATGGTTATTTCTCTAATCCCACACTGAGCAATGATATCCTCGGCCTGTCATGGAACAAAAAAACGTTTGCAAATATCATTTTTTCATATCATGACTCTTATAAGTGACAACAAAAATCGATTTTGCACGAACGACCTGCATGCTGAGGGAACCAGTAATCCAGCATACATTCAAAGGCCAGTATTAGCAAATACGTGGATTTTTCTCTTCTTACGTTCCTAGACGTGAAAGCTTTATTTGTGATTTCCGATTTCGACATGGAAAACTCACAATAAGTATTCCCATTATTGTAGGGGTCGGCTTTCGTCACGTCGTGTGTACACCCATTGAAGAG